GTGGGGGGAACATTAGGTCTGGTGGTCAGGGAGGGCCACTCTGAGGAGTGGCAGTTGAGCTGAGATCTGGATGAGAAGAACAGAACACTCGGGACAGCTTGGGGAAAAGGTGTCACAGACCAGGGACACGTCAAGTGCTGGGTCCCCGAAGGGCATGTGTTTGTGGAGTGAGGAGAACGCCAGAGGGGCTGGAAGAAGGTGCCTGCAGGGTGGACAGAAGCTGGGTCATGCATCGTCCTTGGTCTTGATTCTGAGGGCAACACCATTCTAAGCTCTGGTGAGTTTTAAGCGGAGAAGTGACCCAATTTGATTTTTGTCTCTGTGTCCTAGGCGTGTGGGGACCTCAGGGCTGCTCCCTGCCTCGCAGGGCTAGGGGTGAGGCAAGATGGGGAGAGGGATGCCCCAGCAGTGAAGACTGGGCTTCCTGTGTGGGCGGCCCACTGTGAGCCAGCCGTGCACGCTCACATCCTTCCCAGAGGCCTCTCCTGCTCTCCGGGCCCAGCCCGGTCCAGGAGAACCAGTTCTTCAGCCCAATGAGCACCTACCCGGAGTCATGTGAGCACCTACCCGGAGTCATGCGTCCACGTCTTGGTCGTGACTGGGGAGTGATCCCGTCCATGTCCCCCGCTGCATTCCCATCCCCACCGTCCCCACTCCCATCTCTGTTTCCCTCGGGACCCTGAGCCCCACTCCGGACTTCAGCCGTCACCACCCCTGCTTTGTTGGGAGAGAGCGAGTGGCTGAGGGGAGACCTACTGAGAGTGGGTTCTGACTTGAGGAGGCAGCCTCCGGGGGATGGAGGTAGAACCTACCAAACTCTTCTACACCCACGGCTCCCTTCCTACCCTACCTTCCCGTCCCCTGTGTGCCCCTGCTTCCTCCCCACCCCCCACGGAGTGATTCTTCCACCAGGTCAGAGATTCCGGCTGGGCCTCTCACCCTTGTGCCCCAGAGGAACCTGGAGGTGCAGTTTCCCAAGTCCCCGAGCCTCAGTTACCACTCCACCCCACCCTGCTCCTCACCAAGCCTTAGCAGCCCCCTGGGGACACAGTCTCCAGGGGAGAGGAGTGGCTAGAAGGAAGGAGGCTGGGAGAGGTTGCAAGGAATTTGCATCTTAAGATGCAAATTTGCCTCATCAGGCTTCTAGCATTCCTCAAGAGTCACGGGGTAGCTGAGAGGGCGGGCCTGACCTGCCTGACAGCTCCTGTTCTCCATGGGGACAAGATGGTGCCAGGTGGATGAGACAGCCCTGCCAGTCACCCAGGGCGGGGGCATGACCTTCATCTTCAGCCTTCTCCCCCATCCTGTCTCCATCTCCTTAACCCATTCCCCACACCCCCCCCACACCTCTCCCTGCTCCTCACCTCGCCATTACCCCAATCTACCTCAGTTCTCTGAATCTTCACCCTCATTCCAACTCTACTGCTGATGCAGTTCCTAATCTTGACCTTGTTCTCATCCCTCACCCATCCAACCATTAAGAATTATGTTTCGCCCTGGCCAGTGTTCTCAGTGGTTAGAATGTCGGCCCCGCACACTGAAGGGTCACAGGTTTGATTCCTGGTCAAGGGCACATAGCTAGGTTGCAGGTTCTATCCCTGGCCCCTGTCAGGGTTCAGGCAACCAATCAAAATGACTCACCTTGATGTTTCTTTCTCTCTTTCTCTCTTTCACTCTCTCTAAATATCAATGGACAATATTCTCGGGTGAGGATTAATAATAAAAAAAAGGAATTCTGTTTCAAGAGTTTCCAAGGTACCAGGTACTGTGCCTGGAGTTGGGGAGAAAAGCAAACCAAATTACAGTTTAATCTTTTTTTTATTTTTATTTTTTTATCTTTTTAAAAAATATATTTTATTGATTTTTTTACAGAGAGGAAGGGAGAGGGACAGAGAGTCAGAAATATCGATGAGAGAGAAACACCAATCAGCTGCCTCCTGCACACTCCCCACTGGGGATGTGCCCGCAACCAAGGTACATGCCCTTGACCGGAATCGGACCTGGGACCCTTGAGTCCGCTGGCCGATGCTCTAGCCACTGAGCCAAACCGGTCAGGGTGACAGTTTAATCTTTTGGGGAAGTCAGACATTAATAAAAAAATGTTAACTACCTCCCAGCTGGGTGTGCTTAGTGGTTGAGCATTGACCTCTGAACCAGGAAGTCACGGTGTGAGGTGTGATTCCCGATGGGCTCGATCCCCAGTGGGGGGCATGCAGGTGGCAGCCAATCAGTGATTCTCTCTCATCATTGATGGTCCTATCTCTCTCCCTCTCCGTTCCTCTCTGAAATCAATAAAAAATTAAAATAAAATAATTTAATAAAAGTTAACTATCATGCTAGGAGAGCCATTCCTAGTTAAACTTGGCCTTCCTTGATGAAGCAACTGTCAAGCTAAGATGAGAAGGAAGAGGAAACATTAATCACATTAATCAGGTCCAAGAGTTAGAGTGCAAGGGCCCGGTGGTTGGGGAACTGACCTCACCTCCTTCATGTGTTTACTCAAAAGTCCCTTCTCAAAGAGCTCTTCCTTGGCCGCTCTATGTCTAAAATTTGCTCCCTTATCTGTAATAATAAAAGCGTAATATGCTAATTAGACCGGATGTCCTTCCAACCATCCTTCCAGATGACCTTCCGGATGGAGCCGGGTCTGCGAGGGAAGCCGGGGTCCCAGGTGCCAGAGGGAAGCTGATGCCAGCACCTGGGGGAAGGAAGGCCTACTCTTGCACGAATTTCGTGCATCGGGCCTCTAGTACTTTATATTATCCTTCTCTGCTTTGTTTTTTCTCTTTGGCACTTATCACTATTTAACGGAGTATTTAACTTACTTGGTTATAAGGTAATATTGTCTGTTCCTACCAGAATGTAAGCTCCAGGAGAAAGGGCAGGGATTTGCTTTGGCTACGTTGCATTCTTAGGATCTGACACAGTGCCTGGCACATAGCAGATCCTCTGCTGCCGATGAATGAAAGGCACCTGGTCCCATACAGAAGAGGGCGAAGGGACTGTGGTGGGGGATGAGCTGTCTGAAGTCGGTCAGGGGGTCGTGTGAAGGGACGATGTCCTTATTTCAAAGGCAAGAAGGAGCCACTGCCAGGCCTGATCTGGGGTTGGAGGGATGGGGGTGACATGAGCAGATCTGGGTATTAAAAAGGTCATTTCACTCCCTAACTCCAACCACACCCCTATCTCTAAGCTCCACCTGAACCTACCAGAACCTTCTCTCCATCTCAGAATCCCAGCTCCCCGGGGCCCTAACATGGGCTGGGCACTGTTTGACCTTCCCTCGATGGTTTCAGAAGGTGCCACTAGGGAGGAAACCTGGGTTGGTGCTTCCTGGTTGGCAGGAGCTGCCCTGCGAGGCAGAAGGGGAGAGGGCAGGCCCGAAAAGGGGGATGGGAGTGTGACTCTTCTCACTCTCCCTGAGTCACAAGTGCTGGCCTTTGAGAGTATAACTCGGGCCTCTCACTTCCTTCATGTGTTCATATGTGTATGTGGGGAACATAGAATCTTAGTCCCAACACCTTCCCAAATTTAGGCCTATCCCAGGGCCTGCCCCCACCCCAGTCCTCGTGGCTCCCTTTCCATTCCATACTTATTTTCTTCAGAGCACCTGCTGGCTAAGCCTACGGCAAAGAAATTGCTCACTGTTTCTTGTCCTTCCCTACAGCTTCAGGAAGCTCTGTGTGTATTTTATTTCTTCTTTGTATCTGCGGTGCCTAGAGAAGTCCCTGGAACACGGTGTGTTCCCTTTAAACATCTCCCGAATGAATGAAGGCCTGGAGGAATGCATGACCGGGTTCCCGACAAACCCAATTCCATTGGAACCCATCCCTGATTCCAACCCTCTTTCTAACTTCATTCTTTCTGTTTCTATTTTGGAGGTAGGTGGGAGGTGGAGTGAGTACTTTATAAAATTGAGGGATAACACAGATAGAATAAAGTGTTTATAGTGTCATATATGTCACCCAGACCAAGACATAGAACAGTTCTAGCTCCTTACATGACTCTCCCAGGCCAGAGCTACTCACTGGTCTGACTTTTATAAGAATCACTTGGTTTTGCCTGTCCTTGAACTTCATATAATGGAATGATAGAGCATGTACTCTCCTATGTTTGGCTTCTTTTGTGCAACATCATTTTTATGAGATTAATTCATGTCATAGTTCCTTCTTATTTTTAATTGCTGGGTAGAGTTCTGTTATGATTATACTACAAATTACATATTTATTTTTTTAAATATATATTTTATTGATTTTTTTACAGAGAGGAAGGGAGAGGGATGGAGAGTTAGAAACATCGATAAGAGAGAAACATCGATCAGCTGCCTCCTGCACACCTCCTACTGGGGATGTACCCGCAACCAAGGTACATGCCCTTGACCAGAATCGAACCTGGGACCCTTCAGTCTGCAGGCCGACGCTCTATCCACTGAGCCAAACCGGTTAGGGCTAAATATTTATTCTTTAGCTTAGTACTTGTGTCCCAAATGTACCCCAACTGTCTTCTATTTTTGTAGTCAACCCCCATCCCTCCTCAGCTGATCCTGGCTCAGCAGGAAGCAACAAATCCCCTCCTCTCCCATCCCTGATCATCCCTCCCTGGAGCCTCTCTAGGGTCCCTGAGCTCCAGCCTCATCACCCAACACCTTCCTCTGGTGGCTCTGGGCCCTGGCAGGACGGGCCAGCTTCCTGCTGAGGCCACCGCCTGTCCCATTTCCCAGAGAGGAATGGCCAGGAAGCAGGCCAGCGGCACCCTTTCCCTTAATCCCCACCCACTGGGGGCCCCAGAACCAACGCAGGTAACTGACTGCCCATGAGCTCTGCTCAGCAGGGGTGCCCAGCTCTGCAGCCCACGGGGCGGGCTGAAGGAAGGAGCTTATTAGGACGATAAAGATCTGGGGGCCCGCCCAGGCCCCTCCCCCAACTTCCCTGGGGCCCTGGCTCAGGCTGGACTGGCTCCCCCACCCAGGAGTCTTCTTCATCTAAGGCATCTTCCACCCGCCCTCTCAGAGGCAGGCCCAGCGCCCTGCCTCCTGGCCCTCCCTGCCAGCTCCCCAGGGCTTGCAGCCCAGACACCGGCTCAACAGCCAGGAGCACGGCCTCACCCAGCCTTCCTGGCTCTCATCCTGCCCGCCGAGGGCAGTAGCTTCTCCAGGATCTGGGCTGCTGGGGGGCCGGTCCTCCTTGCCTCACCTGGCCACCTTGGGAGGCTGGCCTGTCCACTCCTCTCTGTGTCTGGCTTCCCCGCGCGGCACTCCACAGTGTTTGGGATTAAGCTCCCCCTCCTGCCTCCTGAAGAGCAGCCATGGCCACCTACAAAGTCAAGGTGGCCACTGGTGACGACTTCTTGTCAGGGACAATGGACTCCATCTCACTGACCATTGTGGGGACCGAAGGGGAGAGCCATAAGCAGCGGCTGAACCACTTTGGGAGAGACTTTGCAACTGGGGCGGTAAGTGTGTGTGTGTGTGTGTGTGTGTGTGTGTGTGTGTGTGTGTGTTAATGTATGTATGATGTATATGTGAGTGTGGTGTGTGTATGTGTGAATGTGATGTGTGTATGTGATTGTGTGTGGTGCGTGTGTATATATATGTCTGTGTGGTGTGTAGGTATTTGTGTGTGGTATATGTAGATGTGTGATGTGTGTATATATGCGTGTTTGGTGTGTGTATGTATGTGTGTGTTTGGTATATATATGAGTGTGTGCAGGTATTTGTGTTGTGGGATATGTATGTATATGTGTGTGTGTGAGTCTGTGTTTGGTATATGTGTATGTGTGAGTGTGTGTATGTATATGTGGTGTGCGTATGTATGTATGAGTCTGTGTTTGGTATATGTGTATGTGTGAGTGTGTGTGTATATGTGGTGTGTGTATGTATGTGTGTGTGTATATGTGTGTGTGACTGGGGAGCATAGGACGGAAGCAGGGGTGCAGCGGAGGGAGACAGCTTGGCCAGCAGAGGTTGGGGAGGTCTGGGACAGGTCTGAAAGCAGTGGGGCTGCCAGGGTGACTCTGGGTGCCCCTCACCACAGACCTGGCTCCCAACCTCCCCTGGTCTTCGGGCCATCCTTCCTCCCTGGTCTTCGGGCCATCCTTCCTCCCTGGTCTTCGGGCCATCCTTCCTCCCTGGTCTTCGGGCCATCCTTCCTCCCTGGGCTTTGGACCATCCTTCCTCCCTGGTCTTTGGGCCATCCTTCCTCCCTGGTCGTCACCTCTGCTCCCTTTTTGGTCATTCCTCATCTCTTTCCCCCCCTTTCTCACCTCTTCTCTCTCTCCTCCTCCTCCTCTCGCATCACTCACCCCATAACCCTCATCTTTCAACCCTCTCCTACTCCCTTTATCTCTCCTTCTCTCTCCTCCCTTTTCCACTCCTTCCCTCATCCTTTCCCACTTCCTCTCTTCCCCTCTCCCTCATTCCTTCTCCTATTCTTACTTACTCTTCCTAAGTCAAGGTGCATCAGAACCAGCTTAAATTCACATGGGAGTCCCTGCGACTTCAAGTGACATCAGACCAGCCTCTCTGTTGGGGCCTGCCTTCTCCATGGCGGAAGGCACCGTGTGCTGGGCCCTCAGCCCTCAGCCCTCAGCCCTGATTCTGAGTCTGGTTCATTAACTTGCAGCTATGTGGCCTTAATAGGTCACTGTCTGTGCGGCCTCTTTTGAATTTCCGCATCTTCATTGTTAAGTGGGAGGAAAGGGGGCTGGCCACTTCTGCCCACTCTGAGACTGTAAGGGTCTTGGGGGCCCTGGTCCCTTTATACAACAGCCCCGGAGGTCTGCATGGCTCCTGCAGCCTCAGATGGCTGGGGAGGTGGGTGAGAGGATGGGACCTCAGGAACTGGGAGTGGAGAAAGGGAGGGTGGGTGGGCCCAGCAGGGGACAGCCAGGTTGGAGGGCTGGGAGGAGAGCCCAAGATCAGGTCACCCCGGTTCAGGAACGTGAGCTGCGTGCGCCAGGCCTGGGTGAGGAGCCAGACCAGTAGGAAAGCTGAGCAGCCGGGGCTGAGGCCTGCGTGCTCAGCTGGCCCTGTGCCCTGCCAGGTGGATGAGTACACTGTGCAGTGCCAGCAGGACCTGGGGGAGCTCATCATCATCCGCCTGCACAAGGAGCGCTACTCCTTCTTTCCTAAGAACCCCTGGTACTGTAACTATGTGCAGATCTGTGCACCCAACGGCCGCATCTACCACTTCCCCGCCTACCAGTGGATGGATGGCTACGAGACCCTGGCTCTGCGGGAGGCTACAGGCAAGCTCTCACCAGCCCAGCCCATGCCCATGCCCTGGGGCCCCTTGCCTACTCCAGCATGGCCACTGTACACGCTAGCCAGGTGCCGGCCCCACGGGGACTCCTGGGGACTCTTACATATTCCTCTTAGTCATCGCTACCGCGCTGGGCCCAGCTCGGGCTACACCCTGAGGAACAGGGGTGAATAAGGCGTGGGGCTACCCCCAGGAGCTCAGGCTCCCAGGTTCCCGCTGAAGACAAGCCTGCTCTCTGCTACCTCTGCTGTCCTCCCCTCCCCTCCCCCTCCCCTCCCCTCCCGTGGCGGCCCAGCCACTCTAAAAAGACCCCCTGCTACTCTGGCTACAGGCCTCAGGATTCTGGTCGGATGCCCTATTTAACCCAAATAGCATGTCCTGCTAATCCGAAAAGACTCCCTGTGATCCAGCAGGTTCTGTTGCTACAACCGGATGCCTTGTTACTCTAGTCAGAAGCCCCGGTACTCCGACTGCTGCCTTGTTTCATTACGGAGGCTGCCAGTTCAAGTTCTCCGCGGCGCTATAGCAGGAGGCCTTGTGCCTTATCATCATGCCCTGGGTTTCTTAAAGAGCATTTTTTTAGACTGATGGGATGTTCTATTGCTCCAAAGGCCTCCTTCTTGCCCCAACAAGACACCTGATTTCTCTAACAGGCCCCACGGCTACTCCCAAAGGTCCTCTAATCCAGTGAGGGTCCCTCCGGCTCCCATAGGGTATACATCTGGGTGTACGTCTCAGGTCCGCTAAGCCTCAGACAGACTGCTGGGCTTCCCTTGGTGGCCCAGCTGTTTCCCCAGGAGCTTGGTTGCTCCCAGGGAAGAGGGACAGACCCGAGTGCCTGCGCTCCTCACGTCCACCCTGCCAGAGCCCTTGTCTAGCCCCCGGGCCAGCTTCCTAATATGTGGCTGCTACATGGGACTGCAGGCCTGTCCTCTGTCCTCTTTTGTCCCCCTGACTCCACCACTGAGCTTCTGCTGGCCGCCCTCAAGCTGGGTCAGAGGGGAGGACAGAGCGGAGGGGGCCTGGGGCCTGGAGCTCTATCAGCCCCGCAGCTGACCATCCCATTTCATCCATTGCCCTGTGGCGAGAACCTCTTCCTGGGAGGCGGGGACCGTGCCCGAGCTGGGGAAAGGAGAGGCAGGGGCCGGGGGAAGCAGGTTTGGGGGAGGATGGGGAAGCCAAAGGGAGGGTCTTATGGGAGATTCGAAGCATTTCCCCACAGTGATAAGTCTGAGTGGCATGGAAGCCGGGGACAGGCAGGGTGACACTGGGTGGCAGGGTGTAGGAATGGGGTTGGGTGGGGCAGCTGTCAGACACACCAGGGCAGAGAGACCTGAGTCACCTGCTGGGGCCTTGAAGGAGTGAGGTTCCCACTCTGGGGACGAGGCTGAACTAGGGCTCTGTGTTACACAACTCCAGGGGGTGCTGTTCTCCCAGAATACAGCATAGGCTGAGGAAGAGGGAGGAGGGAGCAGCTAACGAAGGGAATCTTGAAGGAAAATGATGGGGCTGCAGGGATAGGCTCTTGTCAGGCTGGGGCTTCCAGCCAGGATGCTGGAGAAAGCGAGGCCCGGATTTGGATCTCAGCTTCGCCTGGATACTCAGCTGGACGTCTGGGCATACTTCTCAGTTCTGCTAAGCCTCAGTGCACTCATCTGTGAAATGGAGCTAACAGCAGAACTGACTTCATAGGGTTGATGTGAGAATCCAATGAGACAATCTCTAAAAGGAATTTTGAAAAGGCTTAACAACTATTGGTGGTTGTTAGCGGATAGTGGGTTAGTGATCAGAAGGAGACTGCCTTGGTTCGAATCCCAGCTCACTGTTTTCTCTCTGTGTAATATTGAGTGTTTTTTCCTTGTGAAATGAGCATGGCAATATTGTCCCTTAGCTGAAACTGTGGGGGCCAGACATGTTTTAAAATGTAGATTTTATTTAGAAGAGATGTAGAAATGTGATGCACACATATCTTTATCTCTATATCTCCACATATATTATATATATATATTATACACACACACACACACACACACCCCATATGTTATATGATATATTCACCAGGGAACTCCCTAATCAAATATACCAATATTTCTGTGGCAAAAACTATGAAGTTACACCAAGTGAGTTGAATAAAGGCTGTTTATGGCCTCAGGTAAATTTTGAGCAGATTTTTCCAACCAAGGAATTTGCACTTAAATGGTGGAAAACCAAACCAACCCGATTTGTATGGCCTGTTGGGTTTTGGGATTGTGGAGAGCAGGCCGTGAGCCTATAACCTACTCACCTGCCTCATAAGGTTGTGCTTGTGCAGATCAAATTATTAATATAAAGAAAGTGTTTAGAAGGTGCCTGTACTTAGTAAGTGCTCAGTCACTGTTATTAAGACTTCAGTGGGTCTGAAAGGGGGCCATCCCTGTAGCAGCAGGGCCCAGCTGGAGGGGGTGAAGCAAGGGGGAGGGTGATCCCTGATCCTTTTTTAAAAAAAATGTATTTTTAAAATGTATTTCAGAGAGGAAGAGAGAGATAGAAACATCAATGATGAGAGAATATCATTGATCGGCTGCCTCCTCCACACCCCCTACTGTGGATAGAGCCTGCAACCCAGGCATGTGCCCTTGGCTGGAATCAAACCTGGGACCCCTCAGCCCGCAGGCTGACACTCTATCCACTGAACCAAACCAGCTAGGGCTCCTGATCCTTTTAAAAAAAATCCTTACCCAAAGATAGTGAAATAGTCCTTATGTACCCAACTGAGCCGTGAATCAAACCCACAACCTTTCAGTATAGGGGATGATGCTCTAACCAACTGGCCACACTGGCCAAGGTGGTTCCTGGTCCTTTGGTCTCAGTTTTTGGGAAGAGAAACACCCTCCCTCTCCCATCCTTGATCGTGATGGGACCCCAGAGCCAACTTGGGAGGCAGAAGCTGAATTCTGATCCCTGAAATGGGTGGGGGTGGGCAGATACCGGGGCTGACCTTGAGCTCCGCCCCCCCTTTGATCTCCCTACAGGAAAGACGACAGCAGACGACTGCCTCCCAATCCTTCTGGAGCACCGCAGGGAGGAGATCCGAGCCAAGCAGGACTTCTACCGGTGCGGGGAGGATGGCCAGGGCTGCGGGAGGCCGCGGGGCCAGGGATGGCTTTGCCCTCTGGTGCATGGACACCAGGCTCACTATTTCAGCTTCTCTTTGCAGCTGGAGGGTCTTCGTGCCCGGCCTGCCCAACTACGTGCACATCCCCAGTTACCGCCCTCCTGTCCGGAGAAACCCCAACCGGCCTGAGTAAGGACCTGAGGCTGCCCTGGGTGGGCCTCTGGGCTCCGCCCCTTCCTCAAGCCCCGGACCCCAGGTGCCCCGCCTCAGACCTACGTTCCTTCCTGCAGGTGGAATGGCTATATCCCCGGATTCCCGATTCTCATCAACTTCAAGGCCACCAGGTTCCTGGACTTAAATCTGCGCTACTCCTTCATCAAGACAGCCTCCTTCTTTTTTCGCCTGGCGCCCATGTGAGTGTGTGTGAGTGAGAGGGGTGGAGGGCTCCCTCTGCTCCATGCCCACCTCCACCACAGCCCCGGAGGTTAGAATGGCCAGGAAGGTAGATGGAGCTGATCAGAAAGGCCAGAGAGCCTGAGAGGTGACACTCAGAGACGGAGGCCTAGAAAGACCTTGAGCTATGGGCCCGGGGACCCTGAGACCCAGAGAGAGAGCAGAGAATTTGAGACTCAGGGACCTAGGTGGGGTGGGGCAGACGGGCACCTGGCAGCCTCTCTGACAGCCCCTCCCCCCCATCTCCTAAGGGCGCTGAAGTTCAAAATCCGAGGCTTCGTGGACAGCAAACGGTCGTGGAAGAGACTGAAGGACATTAAGAGAGTTTTCCCTGCCTACAAGACTATCATCTCCGGTAGGGGGTGGGGCATCCTAATGGGACCCAGCGATCTCTGGCGGAAGGACAGTCCAGGAGGCAGGACCCCCACGTCGGGGAAGCTGGGTGGGAGGAGCGGGCGAACCTGAGGCAGGAGTGGCGAGCTGGGTGAGCGCGCCCTCTGGCGGCATGTTGGGAAACGTCGCCCTAGGCCCCTCAGGGGAGGCTGGGGGTTTCATTTTCCTCTGGGGTGTCCCTACTCACACACGCTCACATGTCCTCTGTCCCGGGCCGTGGCCCCATGCCTCTCTGTCCCTGATGGGGACCGGGCAGCGTCGTGACGCTCCGCACCATCCTCCCAGAATACGTGGCCGAGCACTGGGCAGAGGACAGCTTCTTTGGGTACCAGTACCTCAACGGCATCAACCCCAGCGTGATCCGCCGCTGCACGCAGATTCCAGACAAGTTCCCCGTCACAGACGACATGGTGGCCCCGTTCCTGGGCGAAGGAACGTGCCTGCAAGCAGAGCTGGAGGTGAGGCCTGGCCCGCGGACACCCTCACAGCCTCTGGCTTTGCTGGGTCCTGGGCATCCCCTCTCTCCCCGCCTCTGCTGCCTGCGGAGTTCCCACCCCCTCAACTCTGCTCCGCGGTCACCATCACCCCCTCTTGGTCCCTGGCCAACCCCTGCATCTGGGGGACAAAAGCGCTCGGTACCCAAGGTGAGGGCATGGGTGCCCCGTGTTGCTGCGACCTGCCCGCCCACGGCGCTCCCTTCCAGAAGGGGAACATTTACCTGGCCGACTACAGGATCCTGGAGGGCATCCCCACCGTGGAGCTCAACGGCCAGAAGCAGCACCAGTGCGCCCCCCTCTGCCTGCTGCACTTTAACGCGGAAGGGAACTTGATGCCCATCGCCATCCAGGTGCCTGGGGTGCAGGCCCCGCCGCAGGGTGGGCGCCGCTGTGCAGCTGTGCGCATAAATGTGTGTGTGTGGGCCTGTGTGTGTGCTTGTAGCCCCTATGTGAACGTGTGGTGAGCAGGCCAGCCTCTGTGCGTGTGTGCGTGCGTGCAGCTCTTTGTGTAAGCGTGTGTGTCCCTGTGAGTGTCTGTTCGTTTGTGTGCATCTGAGAATATACCTGTTTATGTATATGCCTATCTGGGTGTGCAGCTAGTGGAGAGCCTGGTGTGCGGCCCTTTGGCGGAGTCTCTGTGTTAGCCTGCGTGTGCACACCTGTGTGCAGCCCATGCATGCACGCGGTTCCTGTGGGTGCGCCTGTGTGCAGTCTGCGTGCTGTGTGTATGAGCACGGAAATGCGGAGCTAATCGCACGTAGCAGCTGCCCGGAGAGTCTGGGTCTGGGAGAAAATGGGACAGAGGTGCTTCCTTCTGGGGGTCTCCACTAGACTCCCATCCGAATAAGAAAGGTCAGGTCCTGCCCTGGCCGGTTTGGCTCAGCGGATAGAGCGTGGGCCTGCGGACTGAAGGGTCCCAGGTTCGATTCCGGTCAAGGGCATGTGCCTGGGTTGCGGGCACATCCCCAGTGGGGAGTGTGCGGGAGGCAGCTGATTGATGTTTCTGGCTCTCTGTCCCTCTCCCTTTCTCTCGGTAAAAAAACAATAAAATATATTTTTTAAAAAAGAAAAGAAAAGTCAGGTCCTGGTGCCGTGGCTCGTTAGTGACGCGGTTTAGGCCTGATGGCAGTGCCCTCCCCTCAGGGGGCTGGGTGTCCCTGCGCAGCTGAATGTGGCGGCCGTGGGGCGGAGACAGGGAAGGCTTCTCAGAGGAGGTGGCTTGTGAGCTGGCTCATGAAGAATCATAGGAGCAGCCAGTAGAGAAAGGGCCAGCGGAAGGTACCACAGGCAGTGGGAACAGCAAGAGCAGATGTTAGGAGGGAGAAAAGGCTTTGCTGTGCTCCGGGGAACAGGGACTGGGGTGTAAGGGCGGAGTTTTTACGTCCTCAGACTCTCCTTGGTCTCCCTCCTGAGGGTCCTTGTGTGTATAGGTCTCTGCCCTCCCCTAACACCCTCCTTCCCACTCCCAGCTCAGCCAGACCCCTGGGCCCAACTGCCCCATCTTCCTGCCCAACGACTGTGAGTGGGACTGGCTGCTGGCCAAGACGTGGGTGCGCAACGCTGAGTTCTACTACCATGAGGCCATCGCCCACCTGCTGGGGTCCCACCTCATCGGCGAGGCCTTCTGCCTGGCCGTGCTGAGGCAGCTGCCCATGTGCCACCCCCTCTACAAGGTACGGGCTTGGGTGAAGGGGCCTCACTGAAGCATCCCTGCCCTCGTCTGGCCTCAGAGAGCCACCGGGCCTGCTCAGCAGTCAGAGGGATTCCAGTGAGACTAAGGGAGGCCTCTGGGGACCCACAAGAAAGGGGGTCTGATGTTGCAGAAATGGGGGTGCGCGGTGCTCTGGGGGATAGCGTCAGTTCTCTCATTGTCTTTGCTCTCTCACAGCTCCTGGTCCCCCACACCCGATACACCATCCAGATCAACAGCATTGGACGGGCCATCCTCCTCAATGAGGGGGGGCTCACCGCCAGGGTGAGACTGCCCCCACCACCAGCAAGATACTCCCTTTCCTTCTGGCCTCGCAGGTCGCCTAACAGCAGGGCTTCCCACTTGCCTTTTAGTTCATGAGGGATCACGAAGAGAGGGGACGGGTTAAAGTGGCTGCTGCGTCTGCAAAGGCAGAGGCAGGGGCCGGTGTGTTGGCTGGAGGGCGAGGATTCCGGGGTGGGGCAGGCTGGGCGGGGGCTGCGTGTGAGCTGGATGGGAGCCTCCCTGGGGAGGACTTGCAAGGAACCCGCTGGCTCCAGCGTTCGCTCCTCCCTGACAGGCCACGTCCCTGGGCCTGAAGGGCATTGCTGAGTTGATGGCCCGGTACCTGGCGGAGATAACCTATGAGAGCTGCTACCCCCCCAATGACTTTGTGGAGCGCGGCGTGCAGGACCTGCCGGGATATTATTATCGTGATGACTGCCTGGCAGTGTGGGACGCCCTGGAGAGGTGAGATGGGGACGGCAGTGGGTGGCACTCAGGGTGGACACCCTGAGGTGTTGGAGGGGAGCCTTAAAGTGCCTGAGCTTGGGTCTGGTGCCATCTTCTGACCTTGACAAGCAACCCTGGCCATCTCTGCCCCACAGGACTTGCTCACCCACATGCCTAGGGCAGCCCTGGGGCCAGGGCATCCTGGGAGAGGTGGGAACAGCACAACTGGGGGCAGGAGGAGGGTCCAAACTGAGGCCCTGTTCCCTGGCCAGGTATGTGACAGAGATCATCACCTACTATTACCCGTGTGACGCAGCTGTGGAGGGTGACCCGGAATTGCAGTGCTGGGTGCAGGAGATATTCAAGGAGTGCCTACTAGGGCGTGAGAGCTCAGGTATGGGCCGGGCACCCGGGCATCCGGCAGGGGTCCAGGGTGGTGGAGTGGGCCCTCCTGGCTGGGCTGGAGCATGTCTCACTGGGGGCTGAAGGAGGCCAAATCGCTGCCCTAGGATTTTGACGGGGCCCTTCCCCGTCCCTTAGAGCAGCAGCATCTCAGAGAGACTGGGGAAGGAAGCATGGCTGGCCACTGGTCCCTGTCTGAGTTCAGGGGCTGCGGGTCATCTCTGTAGAGACCTGGAGGGGTCCCAGTGTTCTGAGAAACGGGGCATGAGCGCTGACAGGAAAGGGCAGAGGGTGCTACAAGCTGGGGGCTGGTGGGGTGCTGGCAGACTCCAGGGGCGGGAAAGCATCTGAAGTCATGCCACTTGGGCACCCACTCAACAAGCGTCTATGATGTGACAAACACTGTGCTGGTTACTGAGGAGCAAAAGGGAATGAGGCAGGCGAACTGCTCTCCCCGCCCTCAGGGAGTTCACAGTCTGGCGGCTGGGGTCGGGGGAG